TTTAATAGTTCATTGACTAGCTTATAAAGCCTGACTGGTGCACTATTTCTTCACATTGTCTCATAGCCTGGCATAGATTATGCCAGGTGTGAGATCATTCTCTTTTACTGAATTTATACACAACAGGAATGAAAGTGGAAGGGCAGCTCTTTGTAATACAGGAATTTTTTTTCGACAGGCAGAGTGGACAGTGAGAGAGAGAGACAGAGAGAAAGGTCTTCCTTTTGCTGTTGGTTCACACTCCAATGGCCGCCGCGGCTGGCCCACTGCAGCCAGCGCACCGTGCTGATCCGCTGGCAGGAGCCAGGTACTTATCCTGGTCTCCCATGGGGTGCAGGGCCCAAGCACTTGGGCCATCCTTCACTGCACTCCCGGGCCACAGCAGAGAGCTGGCCTGGAAGAGGGGCAACCTGGACAGAATCCGGCGCCCTGACCGGGACTAAAACCTGGTGTGCCGGTGCCTCAAGGCGGAGGATTAGCCTAGTGTGCCGCGGCACTGGCTAATACAGTAATGTTTTACTAAAGTTTCAACAATGCTTGTTGAAGTGGAGCAGTACAGTAAGTTATTTCATCCACTTCCTCACCTGACCTCCTACCAGTTCCTGTCTACCTTTCCCAGTTTCTTTTCAACTATATACAAGGGAGTTGATGAAGAAGACACCTCACCCTAACACTCTTCTTTGGGATTAAGAAATCTAGGAAAGGGCAGGTGAACTAAGGCCAAAACAAAGTAAAGATTTTTAAGGAAGTTTTGACAGAAACACTGAGAATGACATCTGAGGGGCTAGTGTTATGGCTCAGTGAGGTTTTCTGTTGCCTGCAACGCTGGCAGGAGCTGGGTCAAGTCTTGGCTACTCTGCTTCCAATCCAGCTCCCTGAAAATGTGCCTGGGAAAGCAGTAAAAGATGGCCCAACTGCTTGGGCCCCTGTTGCTCACATAGGAGGCCCAAGTGAAGCTCTGGGCTCCTGTCTTTGGGTTGGACCAGCCCCAGCCATTGAGGCCATTCAGGGAGTGGACCAGTAGATGGAAGAATTCTGTCTTTCCCCTTATAATTCTGCCTTTCAAATAAAGTAAATAAATCTTAAAAAATAAAAGAAGAATGACATCTGAATTCAAATATGGGAAAAGGGCTACTGTGGAAAAATAAAGTCATAGTAGATGTTCTGCAATAATAGAGGGTTCAGATTCATAAGCGCAGGTTCTATGAGCTCTTGACACAATGGGAATATCAGCTGATACAGTCTGGGCTTGCTGAGCCAGATACCCTGAGGGCTTTCCAGTAAGCAGCCTGCCTTGCACACTGCCTCTTTCTGGCTAAATCTATAGCAAGAGTCCTTCAGCTCCATCATGGAGTACTCTCCAATGTGCTACAAGCTGTCCTTATGCTCTTCAGTTCAAGGAAGTGCTTGGCATATTTACTTTATGACTGGAGGGGATGCATGTTCACTCTCCTCTTCAATATCCTCTATATCATCCCTCCTCCTCCTCATCCTCTATATCTCCCTTGTTGTCCTCCTCTTCCTTCTTTTTATTGCTGTTTTCATCCTTGATGACTCCCTTGTTTGCTGCATTGGTCTCTCCTTTAGCTCGGTATGCCGCAGTATTCTTTTCATATTTTTCCTTCAGCTTAGCAACCTTTTATTCATCAGGGTGCCTGTCATCTGTAGCAATGTCATGCCACTTTGCTCACTGTTTGCAGTGTTGCCAATGGGTAGGCCAGGATGTTCTCTTGATTTTTTATGATACTTAGAACAGAACAAGAAAAAGGCTAAAGTCCTCTTGGGTGCATTGTGATCTTTGAAATTCTTTTTGGTTTTTCCTTCAGGAGGGATTTAGGTTTTCATTTCTCTTTCATAATAAGCCTTCTATGTTTCTGCCATGTCTTCAGATTTCCCCTTCTCTTTAGCAGCCACCTCTCTGAGCACTTCTCAAAAAACTCTCAGATGTTCACAGAAGCATCTGAGCACTTCTTGTGCTCCTCTTGGCAAGTCTATACAAAAAATGCCTATGATGACATTTTGCCTTTTGACTTTTCAGGATCTCTCTCTGCCCATGTTATTTTTTCTCATCAAGTCACACGGTCATCTAGTGCCCATATGCCTCTCACTTTCCTGGAGCTGTCTCTATGGAACACAATGTATTATAATTTGTAGTAGTGTTTTTGATAGATATTTTAATCCTAACTTCTATTTGAGAGTATTTCAGGCATGGAAAGCCAAGACACTCTGGCAAAAAAAATGACCTAAATGAAAGATCTCTGTGAGATACCAGCAGAAAGAACGGGCCATCAAAGAAGGAGGTACCTTTCTCTGAAGGGAGGAGAGAACTTCCACTTTGACTATGGCCTTGTCTAAATAAGATCGGAGTTGGCAGACTCAAGAGGCTTCCACAGCCATGGCAACACATGACAAGAGCCTCGGGTGATTACTGATGCCATAAATAAGAGTGTCAATTGTTAAATCAACAACAGGAGTCATTGTGCACTTACTCCCCATGTAGGCTCTGTTTCCTTAATGTGTTTTACTATGTGAATTAATGCTATAACTAGTACTCAAACAGTACTTTATACTTTGTGTTTCTGTGTGGGTGCAAACTGTTGAAATCTCTACTTAGTATATATTAAATTGATCTTCTGTATAAAAAGAGAATTGATAATGAATCTTGATGTGAATGGGATGGGAGGCAGCGGGAGATGGGATGGGAGGGAGTGGGAGATGTGATGGTTGCGGGTGGGAGGGAGGTCATGGGGAGGAAAAGCCGCTATAACCCAAAAGTTGTACTTTGGAAATTTATATTTATTGAATAAAAGTATAAAAAAGAAAAAATAGAAAAAACCTTCTTTTTGAATACACACTATTATATTGATTACTTTATGTAACCATTTCTCAATTTACCCTCTGAGACTGTGCATCTGAGATAATTTTCTGTTTGCTGAAATTTCAGAGTTCAAATTTCCTGTCTGTTGAAGTGCATTTGTTGTTTTGTCTGAATGTATTTTTAATTTACCCTCATTCTTTTTTAAAATAGGATTTATTTATGTGAAAGGCATCAGAATAACACACACACAAGAGGGACAGATAGGAAAAATGAGAGAGAGAGAGAGAGAGAGAGAGAGAGAGAGAGAGAAACTAACTTTCATCTGCCTGGTTCACTCCTCAAATGGTCCCAACAGCTAGGTCTGGGCCAGGCCTAAACCAGAAACCAGAAACTACATCCTGGTCTCCCAGATAGATGGCAGGGGTCCAAGCACTTGGCCATCTTTCACTGCCTTTCCAGTGCATTAAAGTGAAGCTAGGCCAGAAGCAGAGCCATGACACTGTCTCCTACTCTCATTCTTGGGAGATACTTTCACTTTGAAAGATTTTAAATGTGAATTACTTTCTCTCAGTACTTTGAACACATTGTTCAATATTTACTGCAGTTTTCTCTTTTTGTTGCTGATTAAACTTTAATGTGATAAATGTCAGTGAGGATTTTTTATTTACTCTGTTTGAAATATGTTCAGTTATTAAACCTGCAGGTTGGCACTATTAATTAGATTGGAAATTTGTCAGTGATATCACTTTAAATTTTGCCATCTTGCCCATTTCAGACTTTTTACTATGCCCTTAAGCTCTATTTTGTATTTTCCATGTCTGTCTCCCTGTACTAGATTCTGGGTATGTCTTCTAGTTTATATTCTAGCTACTGATTCTCTCTTCAGATGTCTATAATCTGGTGTTTTTAACTATCTGTTGAATTTTAACTATCAATTATCATATTTTTTATTTCTAGACATTCTATTTAGGACTTCTTTTTTAATTCTTTTCTTACTACCTGACTATATTTTTTAAACTTAATTACTTTAAAACATATAACCACAGTTATTTGATAGTCTGTGTTTGGTAACTTCATTATCTAAAGTCTTTTTTTGGAGTCTGTTAATTCGGTCTTGTGGTTACTTCTTTTTTCATGGTGCCTTTTTTCTTTATGGACTATTATTTAGTTTTTTTTTTTTTTTAATTACAGACAACTCATTTTCTTTGGATTGCATTTCCTGTTTTTTTTTATTATTTTAATTTTTTTTTGACAGGCAGAGTGGACAGTGAGAGAGAGAGAGACAGAGAGAGACAGGTCTTCCTTTTCCTTTGGTTCACCCCCCAATGGCCGCTGCGGCTGGCACGCTGCGGCCAGCACACTGTGCTGATTTTGGATTGCATTTCTGATAATTCTTTGAGGATAGCAATATAGACAGGTTTCTCCAGAAGAGATACAAATTTACTTTTTCCAGGCATTTTAGGGCACTACTCACTTGGGACCACTCCAAATTAAATTCTTTGCTTGAGGTTTTAGAGAAGATCACTCAGGTAGTATGAATATGGGCTACAAATTAGCATTATACTAGACAGTGGCTCCAAATTCTCAGGATGATTCTGCACCACTCCTCCCTAATCTGTTCAACAGCAAATTTCAAGAAACTAGCTGTGAAAATTTGTATAGGGCAAAACTCCTTTGGTGGCTCAGCTTTACAGTAGGAAGATATTCTATGAGACTGCTTAGATCCTAGATTTTTGTTTCCTGTTCCCTTTTTATCCGGTAGGCCATGAAAAACAAAGTTCAATTTCACTCTGTGAGTTAAATATCCACAAGATAAAAGCTAGCTGCTTATCTTTCTGGGTTCTTATCAATATTTATATCTTTGTCTTAAGGATTCCTTATACTGTTACCAACACATCATTGTATTTAAGGTTTGAAAAATGCTGAATCAGGAGTTTATGATTATTTTGAGGGATCATCCATAAAGATCCTGAGCTTCTCCATTGTTGAAACAGTAGATTATTCATATATCCCTAAAAGACAATTTTAACTGCCAAAGAATTAGAAGTAGTATGGTATATTCAAATTGTTATCAATTGTTATGTACTTAATTAAGTAGGTAATAATCTCAACATATTTTTACTTTAAATTGTTTACATATAAAATACAACATTTATTACAAGGGATGTTTTTCTATACTTACAGTGTAATCTTTCATTAAGATGATCAAGAGATTGTAGGATCTTCTGTTCTTCAGCTGATAATGCACAGATGTTGAATTGCTGAGTCTTATTTAAAGCCAGACTTGGTTTCTCTCTCTGCTTGCTCTTTATTAAAGCTAAAATTTCATCCTCAGGTACTGATGCATTCACCAGGTTTTCAGCCATCAGAAACTCAGAAGTACTATCTGAAACTACATAAACTTGTCATCAATTATTATCTTATTCATTTTGCCTTTGGGATCAGCCTTTGCACATACTTAGCTGACACAAGTTTGCAGGTATCCACTTTACAAATAGTAACACAGTAAATATTCTGATACTCTACATTTTATTTATCAGGATAGTCTACATTTAGTATCTTAACATTCCTAATAAAATATTCAAAATGATGGCAGTGAGGTAATAAAATTTTTCTAGTGTAACCTGACCTAAAGAAAAAATTACATTATGCTCAGAAGTTTTTGGGTTGTATTTTTGTTATTCATTGGTAGTATAAATAGAAATGGAAGGAGACTGTCTTTATAATGGTAGTAAAATGAGTTGAAAGAGTAAGAGAGAAGGAACTTAAGGAAATATTAGAAAATTGAACCAATAGTTGAATAAAACTGACAACCTAGAAACAGATCCAATTAGATTAAAAACATACAATCAAACAAACATCAAAGACTTGAGAGGAAGACAGAGAGAGTGAGCTATCTTCCATCCATTTTTTTTTTCATTCTCCAAATCATAGCAATGGTTGGTGCTAGGCCAGGCTGAAGTCAGGAGCCAGAAACTATCCAGGTCCCCCATGTAGGAGGCAGGGGCCCAGGTACTCGGGCAATCTTCCTGCATTCCCAGGCACATTAGAAGGGATATAGATTGAAAAGGGAGTAGACAGGACTGGACTGGTGCTCCAATTTGGGATGCAGTTTATTAAGAAGCAGCATAACCCATTATATAACAATGTCAGCCCAAAATTAATTTAATGTGCAGTATTTCATTCAACAAGTATTTACTGGGTACTAATTACATGCAAGGTACTATAGTTTTAATTATGGCAATCTATCCAAAGAAATAATTGAAAAATAAGGAAATAGATTCTTATAGAAAGATGTTCAATAATCATTATCTAGAATAAATAAAAATTGGCAATAACCTGAGCAAGCAAAGGTGAGGGCAGTTCAAGTTCTAAATGGTGGTTTAACAGTTAAATAATATCTAAACACATGAAAAAACACACCTAAGAAAACAAAAACATTGGGAATACAGTTCAGAGGAAAATATTTAAAATAAAACGTACCTTCGTCAATATTAGATGTACCCCTTATAGTTTGTTTTGGCTCACTTGAAACTAGCTGGACACTTGGTCCAAAATTCTGTAAAAACACAATATTAAGCCAGAACATAGAGCTTTGTTTAAAATTAATGATAGTGTGTGTGTGTATATGTATATATATGTATATAATTGTATATATACATTTATATATATATATAAACTTTAAAAACTTTCAATTGCTCTATTTTCAACTATCATTACTTATGTAAGTTGTCTCTCTCTGTATTTTTTTAAAAAAGATTTTATTTATTTATTTGAGAGGTAGAGTTACAGACAATGAGAGGGAGAGACAGAGATAAAGGTCCTCCTTCCATTGGTTCATTGCCCAAATGGCTCAGTGGCCAGAGCTACGCCAATCCGAAGCCAGGAGCCAGGAGCTTCTTTGGGTCTCCCGTGCAGATGCAGGGGCCCAAGGACTTGGGCCATCTTCTACCACTTTCCCAGGCCATAGCAGAGAGCTGGAATGGAAGAGATGTAGCCAGGACGAGAACCGGAGCCCATATGGGATGCTGGCGCCACAGGCAGAGGCTCAACCTACTGCGCCACTGAGCTGGCCTTGTCTCTCTATATAGTTTAAAGATTTCTTAATTCGAGTTACTGAGAGAGATACAGAGCAGTATCTTCCATCTACTGGTTCTCTCTCCAATTAGCTGCAATAGACAGTGCTGGGTGGAGCAGAAGCCAGGAGAAATGAACTTGAACTTAATCTGAGTCTGCCACATGGGTGGTAGAAGCCCAAGCACTTGGGTCATCTGCTGCTTTTCCCAGGCCATTAGCAGGGAACTGGATCAGAAATGGAGCAGCTGGAACATGAACTAGAGCCCACATGGGATGTTGGCATTATGTGCGGTGACTTTACCCACTATGTCACAACACTGGCTCCATTGTATATATTTTTTTGAGCAGAAATCATTGCTTACAGGAATAAGGCCTTCCTATAAAAGATGAATATTAAATAAAACATAGCATTTCCACTGAAAAATTTCCAGCTTGCAGAGTTGTCTTGGATATTATGAAGAGGGAAAGTAAGTTAGTTAGTAATCAAAAGTGTTAAGTAAAGGAAAGATTAAAAATTACATTAAAGTTTACACCTGGTTGTTTGTTATTATAAGGGTAAATCACAACTACTAGTTAAAACCCTGATTGTGACTATTGCCAAGGATAGGTAATATTTTACATGAGGAAACTTAAAAACACAAATAGCCAACCCATACTTCATATAACCTAGAAAAGGGGAATTTCAGCACAGGCAATAGTTAAGTCCACCTATTCTATACTATCTGAGAGACATGTAGTTCTACTTTCCTTCTTTATGCCCATGCTGTTTTACTTTTGAAAAGGTTTGTTTTCTTTCAGACAAAATTGCCTGGGTCTGACTACATTTAGTGTTTGTTCTGTCTCATCTGAAGAATAGCTGATGCAGATTTTTAAAATTTTTTATTATTAATTTAAAATTTTTAAAATTTTTTTGAAAGGTAGAATTACAGAGAGAGGGAATGATAGAGAGAAAGGTCTTCTATCTGCTGGTTCACTCCCCATGTGGCTGTAATGGCTGGAGCTGAGCTGATCTGAACCAAGGAGCCAGGAAATTCTCCTAGGTCTCCCAAGTGGATGCAGGAGCCCAAGGACTTGGGCCATCTACTGCTTTTCTGGACCATAACAGAGAGCTGGATTGGAAGAAGAGCAGCCGGGACATGAACCAGTGCCCAGATGGGATGCCAGCACCACAGACGGAGGCTTAGCCCACTACACCACAGTAGAGCTGGATCCATTGATGCAGATTTTTGACATAGCTCTCCTTCAGTACTTTTCATAGTCCTACCTTATCCCAATTATAGACTCAAGACACTTTGGACTGCAATGCTGATGAAAATTGGCAATTGTGCATTTTCTATTGTTCATCTCTTAGATTATCTACACACAGAAATGATGGGCTACAAAAAAATCCAATATGTGTCTAAACAAGATAAGAGTCGGAGAACTCAGAGGGCTTCCATAGCCTTGGAAACTCATGACTGGAGCATAGGGAGATTACTGATGCCATAGACAGGAGTGTCAATTGGTAAAGTCAACAACAGGAGTCACTGTGCACTTACTCCTCATGTAGGATCTCTGTCCTTAATGTGCTGTGCATTGAGATTTAATGCTATAACGAGTACTCAAACAATATATTTCACTTTGTGTTTCTATGGGGGTGCAAACTGTTGAAATCTTTACTTAATGCATACTAAACTGATCTTCTGTAAAAAAAAAAAAAGAAATTATCAATTCCCAACTTGACTCTCACTGGGATTAAACATGACAATAGGTCTGATCTGATTTCATCATCATTTAAAAAAATCATCTATTATTTTTCACTTTATGTTTCTGTGTGGGAGCAAACTGTTGAAATCCTTACTTAATGTATACTAAGCTGATCTTCTGTATATTAAGATAATCGAAAATGAATCTTGATGTGAATGGAAGGGGAGAGGGAGTGGGAAAGGGGAGGGTTGTGGGTGGGAGGGACGGTATGGGGGGGAAGCCATTGTAATCCATAAGTCTTACTTTGGAAATTTATATTCATTAAATAAAAGTTTAAAAAAAAATTGAGAGGCCGGCGCCGCGGCTCACTAGGCTAATCCTCCACCTTGCGGCGCCGGCACACCGGGTTCTAGTCCCGGTCGGGGCGCCGGATTCTGTCCCGGTTGCCCCTCTTCCAGGCCAGCTCTCTGCTGTGGCCAGGGAGTGCAGTGGAGGATGGCCCAGGTGCTTGGGCCCTGCACCCCATGGGAGACCAGGAAAAGCACCTGGCTCCTGGCTCCTGCCATCGGATCAGCGCGGTGCGCCGGCCGCAGCACGCCAGCCGCGGCGGCCATTGGAGGGTGAACCAACGGCAAAGGAAGACCTTTCTCTCTGTCTCTCTCTCTCACTGTCCACTCTGCCTGTCAAAAAAAAAAAAAAAAAAATTGAGAGTATAATGGAGATTACCAGAGGCTTGGAAGAGAAAGGGGTTGGAAAAGGGTTGGTTAATAGGTACTAAGTAATAGGAGAAAGTAGTTTTGGCATTCTATTGCAAAAGGGTGGTTACAGATAGTGATAGTGTATTGTATATTTTTTAAATCTAGAAGAAAGCATTTGGAATATGTTCACCATAAATAAAGATAAATGTTTGAGGAGATAGATGCTTTTACTCTGATTTGAATACTACATGCTATATAGATGTATTGAAGCTTTACATGTTACCCCATAAATATGTATAATTTTTATATATTGATTATAAATAATAAAACAAAATGGAAAAAATTAAATTTTAAAAAAATCCAATATGATAAAGTTCATGGTGACAAAGGTCACTGCTATAGCAACTGAACACTTCCTTGGACTTTGGAATAAAAAAAAACATACAAAAAAGTTGAAAAATTTAAACTTAAAAACTTGAGTTTGATTCAGGATGACTGACATATCTCAAAACTATAAAGACTTTGGAAGATGTGTAAATGGATATGTGAGTAGAAGATGTGTATACAAAAGTAGAAGTGAGGCTTCTGCAAAGAAGGATAAAATTGAATTCTAAAGACAGTAAAATAAAATATAAATGAATAAGAAATAGGAAAATAAAATAAGACCCACAAAAATAAAAAATAAATTTAGAGAGAGTACTAGGTTAATAGACATTTAAAGTTTAGTTTATTTCTTATTATAACAAGTATATGCCATTTTTAAATTTAAAATATATTAATAAAAACAAATTAAGGTAAAAGTGAATTCATTAATGAATTTTGAATGTCTGATGGGAACAACATGGAAGTTAAAATGGATATTTAGACATTATTATATTTGTAATTAAAAAGTCAAGTTGGTAATTAAGTACCGCATTTGCTAATAAGCAATAAGAACATTGGTGATGGGACTGACTATATTTACATGACTAAATGATTAATTTTGCTGATAAGATTAGAACATGGTTGACTATTCTTTATAATAACAATTTCCTCCCTATTATAATCAATATTTTCTATAATATGCAAATGCTAGGACCCTCAGTCTATAATTTAGAATATAAATTCTTTATAAGGTAGCCTTAAAAAATGTCCTACATAAAGGACTTCTGTGGATGAGACCCCAGTGGAAAGAAGTGGCCACCAAAGAAGGATGTACTTTTCTCTGAAGGGAGGAGAGAACTTGCACTTTGCTTATGGCCTTGTTGAGCTAGTGGACCCAAAAGGCTTCCATAGCTGAGGCAGCTCAAGTCAAGAGCCTTGGGTGATCAGTGATGTCCTATGTTAAGTTATTTGTTAAGTAAACAAGAGTCACTGTGCACAAATTTCCCATGTAGGACCTCTGTCCCCAAACAGTTGTTATCATGAGACTTAACAGTAAAACTTGGTCTCAAGAATCACTTCCTTTTTGTGTATTAAATGGAGGATATTATTATGTCTCATAAATTATAGTTATGTCCAAGAGCTCACAAAAGATGCATCATACTTGGGTTCTTCCTTAAAGATAATTGAGTTTCTAAAAGGAAAGAAGGGAGAGAAAGGAAGGGAAAAAAGGGGAAGAAGGCAGGAAAAGAGGAAGGGGGAAAAAGAAAGCAAATCACCTTCAAGAAGCAATAATATGGAAAAGCCCTTGTCTAGAGTGTTGGGAACAGTTTTCTTAGTTTTTTATATTCCCTCCCTCCCTCCCTCCCTCCCTCCCTCCCCTCCCTCCCTCCCTCCCTTCCTTTTCTTTCTTTCTTTCTTTCTTTCTTTCTTTCTTTCTTTCTTTCTTTCTTTCTTTCTTTCTTTCTTTCTTTCTTTCTTTCTTTCTTTCTTTCTTTCTTTCTTTCTCTCAAACAGGAGAGAGAGGAGGAAGTGGAGGAGGGGGAGGAGAGTGGGTGGGAGGGTAGGTATGGTGGAAAGAATTACTATATTCCTAATGTTATATTTATGAGATACATACAAATTAAAAAACAATAAAAGGTAACCTATATCAGTGTTTTTTTAAAAAATAAGTGGTATTTACAGTATAAACTGTGAGTAAAGTATTATTTACTTACTGCTTTATATTTTAAAATACTTTTAATACTAAAAGATTTTTAATATTCTAAAGTCAATTTTTTTTTCTAAAGTCAATATTTGAATCAAGTTAGACTTCTGGAAAATGTTGTATTTGGATCACAGTTACTTAGCTCTCACAAGATTACCTCCAGTCATTTAAAAATTATGTTTTTGGGTTTCATTGAAGATCTGTAGCTCAAACAGCCATTTGAAACTCACTATTTATTTGTTATTTAAAACTGTCATTAGGGATATATCTATCATGTATTTCAAGATCTATGAAAGTTTTCAGTGTGAAATGTCTTTTAAAAAATTTTACTTCAAATGGTATCACTATCATTATCCTTTGAGAACTAAACAACTCATCTAATTTTCCCTTTTTGCCATTTCTTCCAGAAACCACAAGTCAAATAAGATATTCAATCAGATGGAACTATATTAATTTTGATGATTAGCATACTTGTTTCCTTTATCCTTGGCTCTAATTAAATTTTCTTCCTTTCCAAAAATTTATATTTAAATAACTACAATGAATTTTGTTGGGGAAGTTCACATTTTTTACAGAGTTGGTTGTAAATAATACCAAAATAAAAACAGTGGTTTCTTAAAGTTGATTTGAAACTTTCATCAGTACCTGATTATACTTGTATAGGCTAATTAGAATATAGCAAATAAGTATAGTATAATATTCTAACACAGAGGCTTCAAGTCTGTTTTATGAAAGGTTTTGACTGTATTTATATTAATATTGTTGTATACAATTTAAAGCAAAAACATGGTCCTTTAAGAACATTATTTTCCAAGCAATTTTTTTGCTACTTAATAGAAATTTTTTTACAATACAATACTTACATTAATTTGCTCACTGTACTTCTGTCTTACAGATCCAGGGTTTTGTTTTTTCTGTGCAAAAATATTTCTCTGCTTATTTCCAACAATTCGTTTTCTCCTTGTAACAGTAGAATCTTAAACAAATGCCAGTACAATGTAGAAAAAAAAAGAGTTCAGGCAGGAGAAAAAAATTACCATATTTTGAACCCTGGTATTAAATTATATAATAGAGAACATAGGTTTGAATGTTGAATTAAATTTATGTTAACTATGGTACTATAGCTACCACAAATGTGTATTCACACATCCACATACCATAAACGAAATAACAAAGCTATAAAAAAGCCTTCAACTTTCAAGAAAATGGGTCAATAATTGAACATCTTTCCTGAATAAAAGATAACATAATGCTAGCTAATATTTAGTTAGTATTCATAATTTGATAGACATTTTTCTAAGGGTTATTGGCACTATTATCACTATTATTTTTACAGATAAAGAAATTAAGGCATAAGAGAGTTTAAGTAACTTGACCAAAGTAACTTGACCAAAATCACATAGCTAGTAGAGGGCAAAGCTGGGATTCAGCTCCAATCTATTGGGTTGTAAACTCTAAACTTTTAATATTATGCTAGTAGTAACTTTCATTCTGATTTGTCTTTCAAAGAAATAAATATACTTAAAATATATTTTACATAATAACCCAGGAGATTATGTGTGTGTGTGTATATTTATAAAACATTTATCCTTACAACATATGATATCCACTGGCAGTTTTTTTTTCTAATTTTTATTTATTTATTTTCACTTTTTTTGAAAGGCAGATCTATCTGCTGACTCATTCTCCAAATTCTTGTAACAGGCAGGGCTGCGCTACGTTGAAGTCAAGAGCTGGGAACTTCATGTGAGTCTACCATATAGGAGGCAGGGACCAAAGTTATTGAGCCATCAGTTGCTTCCTGCCAGTAGCCTTAATAGAAAGGTGGATTGGAAACAAAGAGTAGCTGGGACTCCATCTGAAACTTGGATACAGAAGTAGAGGAACTGGGACTTGAACCAAGCACCCAGATATGGGATAAAGGCTACCCAAGTGGCTATTTAACTGCCATACTATAAAACCAACCCCCCACCGGTAGTTTCTATTGAGAATATTAAAATCTAAAATCATGTTTCACAAAAAATATGTTATAAGTCATTAAACTGGTTTCATAGTATACTAATGAGTCATGGCCTACATCATAAAAAACACTGTTACTAGGTTTATTCTCACCCACATGGGTATAAGCTTGATATACTAATTGTTAGTTTCTAGTTATATAATTTTGGCATCAATACAATTTCTATACTAATATGATTGGAATGCTTTGAATTCTTTTCTGCTAAATCTTGCAAAATTCCCATCTTTCTTTTTATGTAGAGCTTTAAAAATACCTTAAATGGAATTTTGACTCCATGGCTTCTACAGCAAGATTTTATGTCATCTTTCAGCCTGCTAACGAATCTTCTGAAGGTAAGTTCTATTAACACTTTTTATGTTTTGATTGGATGATTTACCTTTGCAATTCATTATTCATTATGCATGGATTAAGTTTTGTGGGCTGTAGATGAATGATCCCAGAAGTGTGATTAAAAACGTTCATGTATTGTTTTATTCAGATACATACACTTAAATATTATTCAGTAATACAATAGCCAAGAACCTCTGTATTTTTGTAAAATATAATATAGTTTAAATTAATATCCATGGCCAAATTTGTGGTTCCATATGATAATTCTAGATATGACAGTTTTACTACAAAAACCTCAAAAGATTGGCTACTAATTTTCAATAAAGTATTATACAATATATTTTTAAATCAGTGGTATTCTTAATTGTAAGAATATGGGGAATTATCAGAGATATTCACAAAAAAACACTTTAGAAAATATCTCAGAAGTTAATGAGTTCAATCTAGCTAATTCATGTATCTAAATTATTCACAGGTGAACATTCATCTTCTGTTTGAATAGTATAGAGATGGAGAGTCACTACCCAATGGGTCATTGTCTTCTATTGCTGCTTAGCTTAAATCCTTCCTTATGTTGATCTAAAAACATCCCTGCATTTTAGCCCATTCATTTTAGTTGTTTACTTCTGATTTCTCATAATAATCCTTCAAGTATTTTTACATAGCTGTGATGTCTCTTAAGGTTATACTCCTTTAACTTATCTTCAGGTGAAACACACCCTCTAGTAGTCCTAGATTACCATGTTTGCTTATATATCCCTTAAAATGTTACCTAAAAGAATGTAGAATACAACAGTATTGATTACTATTGCCTAAAATTATTACTTAGAATTATTTTAACTTTATATCACCTGTGATAAATATCTAGGTTTTGTTTAGTTTTGTGTATGTGTATTTTTCTGGAAGAATTGTTGTCAATATGGATACTTTTCATGTTGGAATTGTAAAACTGATTTTAAAGAGACTAAATTCATATAGGCAAATATAAAGGAATAGAATACATTAAAACCTTTTATTCATCAAAAAGAGTGAAATAACATTCACAAATTGGAAGAAAATATTGCAACACATTTAATCTATTTGAGGTTTGTATCAGTATACAATTAGTAATAAAGAGCCTCCCAACAGAAAAAGCCTGGGACCAAATGGCTTCACTGATGAATTCTACCAAACTTTTAAAGAAGAGCTAATTCCAATCCTTCTTAAACAATTCAAAATAACTGAGGCCAGCACTATCTTAATTTTTAATTTCCAAATCAGAAAAAGATATAACAAAAAAAGAACTATAAACTAATAACTCTGATGAACACAGATGCAAGAATCCTCAACAAGATATACCAAATCAAATCCAAAAACATAAAAAATAACCCACCCAGACCAAATGGGATTTATCCCAGTGATTCAAGCATGGTTCAACATATGCAAGTCAATAAATATGATACATCACATTAACAAAATGAAGGATAAGAAACATGATAGATGCACAGAGAGCATTTGATAAAATAAAACATGCATTCATTATAAATACCTTAAAATTGTGTATAAAAAGGAACATACCTCAACACAATTGAGGCAAGGATGACCACTCATGATTACTATTCAATATAGTTCTAGAAGATTTAGCCAGATTCATTAGACAAGAAAAAGACATGAAAGGAATACAAATTGGAAAGGAGGAAGTCAAATTATTCCTGTTTTCAGATTATATGAACTGTTGGGCGAGGTAGGAGCAAAGGAACCCAGTAATGCACTACTGGAACTCATAAGAGAGTCTAGCAAAGTGGCAGAATGTAAAATCAACATACAAAAATCAACAGCATTTGTACACACAAACCATGCCATGGCTGAGAAAGAACTTCTGAGATCAGTCCCATAGAGAATAGTTACCAAAAAAATCTAAACACAGAATAAACATAACCAAGGATGTGAAAAATCACTACAATGAAAACTACAAAACACTAAGGAAAGAAATAGATGATTAATAATGGAAAAATTTTCCACATTTGTGGATTGGGAGAATTGATATAATCAAAATGCCCATATTATACAAAACAGTAAAATACCAAGAATCTTATCAACTTAGAAGTAAAGATCCTATGATTCATATGACCCTGTACAGTCAAAGCAATTTTAAACAACAAAAACAAAGCCAGAGGAATCACAATACCAGATTTCAATACATACTACAGGACTGTTAAAATCAAAACAGTTTGGTATTGGCTCGTAAACAGACACATTGGACCAACGGAACAGAATAAAAACACAAGAAATTAATCCACACACCTTCAACCAACTAATCATTGACAAATGAGCTAAAATCACTCCTTGGAGGAAGGACAATCTCTTCTACAAATGGTGTTGGGAAAACTGGATCTTCACATGTAGGAGTTACAAAAAAGACACCTACTCATACCCTGTGGAAAAATCAAGTCACAATGGATCAAGGATCTAAACCTAAGACTCGAAACTTTAAATTCTAGAGAAAACAGGGGAAACACTGTAAGACATTGGCCTAGGCAAAGACTTCTTGGATAAGACCCCAGAAGCATAGGCAATAAAGCAAAAATGGACAGATGGTATTATATCAAGCTAAGAAGCTTCTGCACAGCAAAGGAAATACTCAACAAAATGAAGAGGCAACAGAATTCTACTTTATTACTGGTTCAATTACACTTGGTGGAAATCTAGCTTGATTCCACATCTTAGCTATTCTGAGTTGATCTGCTATAAATATGGGGGTACAGATAAGTCTTTCATATGCTGATATTATTTGGTTTTGGTAAATTCCCAGGAGTGGAATAGCTGGGTCATATGGTAGATATATTTTCAGATTTCTGAAGATTCTCTATACTGTCTAACATAATGGTTATACTCGTTTACATTCCTACCAACAGTGTAGTAGGGTAACTTTTTCTCCACATTTTTACAAGGATTTGTGATTTTTTGATTTCTGGATGATAGCCATTCTAACCAGGATGAGGTGAAACCTATTAGTTGCATTTCACTGAAGGCTATGATCCTGAGCATTTTTTCATTTCTGTTGGCCCATTTGTATTTCATCCTTTGAAAAGTGCCTGATGTCTTTTGTCCATTCCCTAAATGGATTGTTTTGTTGTTGAGTTTCTTGAGCTCCTTATGAATCCTGGATTTTAATCCTTTATCAGATATATATATATCTTGCAAATATTTTCTCCCCATTCAGTTGCCTCTTAACTTTTTGAGTGTTTCATTTATTGTGCAGAAGCTTCTTACCTTGATGCAATCCAACCTATTTTTGCCTTTATTTCCTATGCTTCTGAGGTTGCATCCAAGAAGTCTTTTCCTTAGCCAATGTATTGAAATGTTTCCCATATGTCTTCCTCTAGTAATCTGATGGATTAAGGTCTTAGATTTAGATCTCTGATCCATTGTGAGTTGACTTTTGTATAGGGCATGCAGCAGGATCTTATATCAAACATCTGCATGTGAAGATCCAATTTTCCCAACACCATTTGTTGAAGAGAATATCTTCTCCAGGGAGTGATTTTAGCTCCTTTGTCAAAAATGAGTTGGTTATAGATGCAAGGATTAATTATTTCTGGGGTCTCTAATCTGTTCTAATTATCCACATATCTAGTCTTGTGCCA